GCTGACCCCCCTTTTCCCGGGGGCTGCATTTCATGCCCGCAGGTCTACGCACAGTTCGGTGATCCTCCCGCCTAGGATATCTACTCTGCTTAATGGGAGATCTCCACTGTTCTAGAGCCCAGCCGCTTTGGTACATAACTTTTTGTGTAGTCTTTTGCTCGTCTATGGGTATGGCGGGGCCCTGTCCCATTGAGTTTCACTACTGTACTCTTAGAGGTCTGTGGACATTATGTGGGTTGTATATATATGTTTTGGATAATGGTCTGGACATGGTTTGTTTGGGATGTCCGCTTGTACAGGGGCAGCCTTGTCGGCTGCGTACATCATTGTGTATTGTGTAGTGGCAGCCTTGTCGGCTTACGTATGTTATTATTCTTTGGATAGTGGCGGCCTTGTCGGCTCGCGTATGTTGTTACGGTAGAATGGTTATGACTCCTTATGAGACATGTCCTCTTTATATATATATGACGTTGGGGTCGGCTTGATTTGATTAAATTCCATATTGTCTTAGTTTCAGTTGGTTATACTTAGCAGGTTTGTATGTGGGTGTCCAAAACGGGCACTAGTCATGGCCCATAGGGTTGGGTCGTGACAATTCAATAGTTATGTCGAAATGTAACAACCAATCTATAGTTATGCCAAAATTTTGCAAGTGAACCAAGTTAATTATGCCAGAATGTGGAAACCGATCTAAGTTAGTTATGACGAAATGTGGAAACCGATCAATTCATCAAACCATTATCACAATAACTAAATATCCTTAGAGTCATATAACAAAATTCATGATTCATAGTGTTCGTCATTCATATATCATTATTACAACAAGTGTGTCAACAATGCAACATTTGTATAGCTACAAAAACCACAATGGAGCAAGAACAACAAACATCATTAAATTATAAATCAGCCTCATCACAATGGTTATTCATCAATGCACATCATGCAACCTTTATTCGACCATACTCAACCTTAATAATACTCCTCTAACGCTTCTTCTGATTGTTTAAAGCATAAAACATTCGGTGCATCTCCTTTGCATAATTCCTACCATTAACTTGTATATATTACATAGGGAACATAAATTTGAACTACGATTCATAAATAGCTAGCCTACGTGGGTGCCAAGTAGTTGCATTCAGCTTCTGACCTCGATTCCTATTTTTTGGGCTTCATGATGGTGAATTTGGCCAATAATCCGCAAGATATCACCGTTCTCTTGCTATAAATGTTATTCTCCTTCCTTCCCAAGATAAGAGCATCTTTTTTGAAGTTCCTACGGTGTTTTACAACTTATTTAGGTATTTCATGAAGATGGAGAAAATAGGACTTCCTTGCCTATCACTCCCTTGCATCAGCTCGGCGCTAGCGGCATTTGGACCACTATGGCAGGATTATGGCCCACATTTCCTAGATTTTTGTTTCTCCCTAATAACGAATGTCCCAGTTGTTACAAGACATTCAAGATAATTATCTCTTAATGGTTATTAGTTGATTATTTATCGTAAGTAGGTTGTTGATGTCATGCTGAAATCATCATTGACATAATAATATACTTCTTAAATATTTGAAAATGTATACATCCTCGTTTCAATTCGTCACACATACTTTCCTTTTAAATCCATTTAAAACATAATTACTAGTTTACTTTTTATGTATTTGAAAACTAGCTACATCAGATGCATGCATCTAATGACCAAAATTTTGCATAGTATAATTTTGAAATCTCATGAGAATCCATGTATTAGGCCCTAAACAAATAAAATTTTATTATTTACCTTATTAAATTCAATAATGTTGAAACTTAAATTCATGGGATAATATAAAATTCAACAAAATTTGACCAATAAATACTGTAAAAAAATGCATTAAACCTTTTCCTCTTTTTAAGGTAGTTAAAAAATTACAATGTTATGTCTGTCACTATGAAACAATTTTCTTTTGGGTTAATTTTTGAAGTCCTTGTGAAACCACGTGGTCGGGCTATTCCAAGAACAACTATGTGTTGCTTTGCAAGTGCTATTTTTTCATTTTACTAAACCCATGGAAATGAAATACCTCTTCACGTTTTTTCAACCTTCCCACCATGAAATCCTTTCCTTCATAAATTCCCAAATTCCTAAGGTTTATCCGTTGTAAAACTTTCGTTGAGTTTTTATTTTTTCATTTTATATTTTTTAGTTAAAATTTAATAGCTTTCTCATATGTTAGATTTTTCTAACATTGAGAAACATGAGGAAAACATAGGAACTTCAACTATAGAGAATGAAAATGTGGAACCGAATTGAGGGCTTTCAGTGAATGTTAATTTTGATGCTAAAGTCAAAAAAGTGAATCGTTGTTTTGTGAATAACTAATGAAAATTCTTTGATTTTTTAGGTAGATCAAAATGAAGTGTTGCTTCAATTGTCGCTGAGGTTGAAACCCACCACCTACTAAAGGTATGAAGTTTTTGCGAATTGATTCATATAACAAGTAAATTTGAATTTGTATCAAAATCAAAGTATGAAATATTTTTTTCCATAAGTTCTTGAAGTTAAATCATCTTTTGTTAACAGAAACTGCATGTGTATTCATTCGGGGAATTATAATGTTAAAGGAAAGATCAAAAACTTCATGCTCAATCATATGACTATTGTTTTCTGAAGAGGTGAAGGACCAAATGTAAAGAAGATTGAAGGACTTTTACTCATGTACGAACAAATATGAAGTCGATTGAGTTTCTCTTTGTCATGATGATCTTCAAAATGCAACTTAGTTTGTCGAACAGGCTGGTGGGGGTTATGTAGAAAACCCTTTAAATTATATATTTATCGATGAGAAATAGATTAAAAAGCATTATTATTGATATTATTTGATATTTCCCTTTTTTTCTATATCGAATAAATTAAATGGTTATTTCCCAAAGAGGCATTAGCTTTTGTATCGTTATTATTTCATTTTTCCTTTTTGTCGTTGTGTTAACTTAAGTTTCTCCCGATAATGTAATATTATCATGACCCAGACCATCCTATAGACACCCACATTAACCCTTCTGTCTAAGAACCATTAATACTAATTATCTAACCAAAGAACTAAATATATAAAGGTACGTAAGTTTGTTTAAATACATGAATCAGATAGAGTTCGCATACTAATGCGGAAGAACAACCCCTAGCCTGAAAGTCACTGTACCAAAACATCTAAACTTCAACAAGTCTAATGAATTGGGTGAAACCAGAATTAACATGTGACAATAAAGCCTGAGTTTGAAAGAGTGAACTAAAACATAAAGAACTCGGAATCCTAGAAGAACTGGCTTACCGTTGATTTCGATTGATCACTGATCTCTTAGATAAAGTCTGTGAGTAGCCCTCTGAAGATGACATGTACACAACCACAATATACTGGTAGGATCACACAACTATCCTAGTATAAAACATATACAAACAGTCACAACACAGGAAACATGCAAATACCGAACATATACAATATTAATTGTCATTCAAAAACAATGTACCATTCGGCATTTTTAATATCAAATAATTAGGTATATATGACAATTGAATGGTACTATCATTGAACCCAGATCCAAACTATCATGGTACCCGATCACAATTAGTTTGTCACAGGTGATACCCAATCTTATATATACGCTGAAACGTGGAACCCGATCCAAGTAAGTGATTTGGAACGTAACACTCGATCAATACAACAAGCCACAATCACAATCATAATCATACAATCAAATGTTGATTCATTACATACAATCATTTGTTTATACTCATTAACATTTGATGATCGTAGTGCAACATTCGCATACATACATGAATTATAATGAAGAAAATACTCACATACATTACACAAACATGAAATCAAACCATTACCTACCTCGAAAACATGCTTCAATCTTCATAATATGCTTTATTCTTCCATTTCCATATTCTTTCGGCTTGTTCTAGGTCTACAAACAAACAATTAAATATAGCGATCAATACTTATGTTCTAATTTACTCAAATTATGACAAACTCAATAACCCAACCCCTAAATTATGACCCTAAGGTGTAACTAAGGGTTTTTGAACATCTAAATCAGTTCAAAACCCTCCCCAAATGATAGATGATCAAGTTTCTAAGTTTTACATATCAAAAATAGATTAGGGGAAGCAGAATCCTTAACTTTTTGACCAAAAAAACTGAAAAATTGTCAAGAAATCGCCTGGTTCATCTCTTATCTCTTAAGAATGAATATTGCAGAATAATGACAATTTAGGGGTTTATTTTCAACTTAAATTGTGATTGTCCCACTATGGTAGCCCCCATCCCGCCAAATATCCCTGCCTTAATGGATTTCATGTAAACAAAGAGCATAATTTAGAGTTCCAATCCCCCATTTCACAAAATGCCTTCAAACCATGACACCCAAAAGCTACCCGTCCACACTAAGAGATGTTCAGGAGTTCGACTCGCACAAATTAAATTACGTAAAGTCGTTCGGGTTTCGTAACATCTTTACTATCCACTCGTGCAATCAAATTCATTATTAGATCTCTAATTTTTACCAGATTTCCTTAGGCCTCACTAACTCCGATTTCATACAAATCTGGACTAGGCAAAGAAATCCTAAGTAACTCCTAAAAAAGTTTTCTGGCCCAAACATTTTCCTTGATGTTTTTTCTATAACAACGGGAATAGGTCATTACAATACATATCAATTTACACATCACTCATCCCTGAGTGAAAAACTTAGAAAATCCAGGCCAATGTAAGGGTGGAGTAGTACCTAAATTGCCGAACAATTGAGGATACCTGTATCGCATGTCCTCCTCGGTATCCCAAGTTGCTTTTTAAACTGGACGATGCTTTAGTTGAACTTCATGGGCTTAATATCCTTGGTCCTAAGCTTTTGCAAATCACGATAAGTATTTGCAACCAATTCCTCCTCATACTGGATGTGTTTGTCTAAAAACACTTAGTCCTATTTATGATGTAATCCGTTCACCTTGAAATCTCTTCAACATTGACACATGAAACACTGGATGAACTCCCTATAGGTTAGGAGTTAAAGTTAAGTTATACTGTATTTGTCCTACATATTCAAGAATCTCAACTGAAACCAATGTATCGAGGACAAAGCTTGACCGTCTTGCTTAATCTCATCAACCTTTAATAGGTGATACTTAAGAAGAACTTTCTCACCAGTCTGAAATGACATGTCTCTTACATAATGTTTGATATGCATTTTCTGTCTACTCTAGGCAGCTTAAAGCTTAGCTTGAATATTCCTCACTTTATCTTGAGCACCCTTCACTAAATCAACACCTAAATGTTTCACATCACCAACCTAAAAATATTCTAGATGTAATTTCAATACTATCCCATAAATGCCCTGAACGGTGCCATATTGTTATGCCTCGTATTTTTTTTATACGTAGTGCGCATCATGATCTAGTAGACGTAAGTCCGGGGAATGAGATTTTATTTTAAGTTCCAAGTGATTAAAGAAATATTAGGCAAGGATGTTAATTCCAAATGTGATATTAAGTATGATTTGGCTAATGTGAGTGCCATTAACTTTAAGTGAGGGATTAATTAGTGGCTGATTAGGATTAATTTAATCCAGTGGGTCCCATCACTCATAATTGGTGGCTGATTAATATTTAATCCAGTGGGCCCCACCACTCAAGGCAAAAATTAAAAAGATCAGATTATGAGCTGGCCTTAGTGGACAGGTGTAGAGGGGGGCTGCCTCCACTTCATACTATTAAATGAGGTGGAGAAATCCACTCTATGCTAAATAAAGTGGTGAAATGCATTGCTGCATATCATCTTCTTCTTCACCACTTGTTTTAGGCAGCCATGGAAATGGAGAAACCAACCCTGCAAGTCTTGGCCAGCAGCTGCAAATAATTTGGTTAGTAATCTCCTTGTTTGGTGTGTTAATTATTTAGAATACCTTTGTTAATTATCCATTAATTTTAAGAAGGGGGCTTTACCAGTAGCTTAGGAAGTTTGTTTTAGTTATTGAATGGACTAATTATGAACGGAAACCATAATCGGATTATTAGTGGTGTCGTGTTGGTGCTTGGGCTGTTTTGATTAAAGCAAACTGCGGGAAAATTCTGTTTTGGCATTATGTATATGTAAAATGTGATTATGAGTATATACTCCAAAGGATGAATACGATAAGGTAGATGTGTTGTGTTATGCCTCGTATTTTTTTATACGTAGTGCGCATCGTGATCTAGTGGACGTAAGTCCGAGGAATGAGATTTTATTTTAAGTTCCAAGTGATTAAAGAAATATTAGGAAAGGATGTTATTTCCAAATGTGATATTAAGTATGAGTTGGCTAATGTAAGTGCCATTATCTTTAAGTGAGGGATTAATTAGTGGCTAATTTGGATTAATTTAATCCAATGGGCCCCACCACTCATAATTGGTGGCTGATTAATATTTAATCCAGTGGGCCCCACCACTCAAGGCAAAAATTAAAAAGGAA